AAGATGGACCAACTGCAGGAAAACCAAGGCTCCTAATGGAACGACCAATTCAATTCATATCAATCATTATCATTATCATTATCATTATCATTATCATTATCATTATCATTATCATTATCATTATCATTATCATTATCATTATCATTATCATTATCATTATCATTATCATTATCATTATCATTATCATTATCATTATCATTATCATTATCATTATCATTATCATTATCATTATCATTATCATTATCATTATCATTATCATTATCATTATCATTATCATTATCATTATCATTATCATTATCATTATCATTATCATTATCATTATCATTATCATTATCATTATCATTATCATTATCATTATCATTATCATTATCATTATCATTATCATTATCATTATCATTATCATTATCATTATCATTATCATTATCATTATCATTATCATTATCATTATCATTATCATTATCATTATCATTATCATTATCATTATCATTATCATTATCATTATCATTATCATTATCATTATCATTATCATTATCATTATCATTATCATTATCATTATCATTATCATTATCATTATCATTATCATTATCATTATCATTATCATTATCATTATCATTATCATTATCATTATCATTATCATTACATTATCATTATCATTATCATTATCATTATCATTATCATTATCATTATCATTATCATTATCATATCATTATCAGTATCATTATCATTATCATTATCATTATCATTATCATTATCATATCATTATCATTATCATTATCATTATCATTATCATTATCATTATCATTATCATTATCATTAGATTATCATTATCATTATCATTATCATTATCATTATCATTATCATTATCATTATCATTATCATTATCATTATCATTATCATTATCATTATCATTATCATTATCATTATCATTATCATTATCATTATCATTATCATTATCATTATCATTATCATTATCATTATCATTATCATTATCATTATCATTATCATTATCATTATCATGATCATTATAATTATTCATTATCATTATCATTATCATTATCATTATCATTATCATTATCATTATCATTATCATTATCATTATCATTATCATTATCATTATCATTATCATTATCATTATCATTATCATTATCATTATCATTATCATTATCATTATCATTATCATTATCATTATCATTATCATTGTCTTTATCATTGTCATTATCATTATCATTAACTGCAAATTCCACTTATACTCTAACTTATACACAACTTATACGAACATATTTACCTTCTGTAGTCCGAGTTGAAAGCTCGCATAAATGTATGCAATGCAAAATAAATGACGTAAAGCGAAACTTGAGCTGCGATGGAAATAGAAGAGGTAATATGAAAATATTGCTAAAATAAACTCTGTGGCTTGCCGTTGTTAATTGATAGTATGATAATAATAATAATAATAATCATTTGTTAGGGTATTCGAAGTGCGTTCAGCTTGGCGTAACGCCGTTGCCTTCACATTTCTAAGAAGCAAAAATTTACGAGCAATTGCGGACTCGTAAAAATGATTTGCATTTTGTTGTGGGCCAAAGATACGAATGTGTGTGTGTGAGTGCGTGTGTATCTGCTAGATATATACCCTTTATATAGATAAACAACGAGCTGTGCAAGTCGTTCTTAGTCAGCTGGAATATGGAATATGGCAGTCAGCTCTGCGCACATCATAATTCTATTTCAAGTGTCATCTATTGTGACCGTTATGCAATGCCTTCGATTTGACACGTGTGTCAAACGTGTCCCCTTCCATCCAATTGGTGACGCTGACGCTGACGCCGACGTCGACATTCTCGATCTATATGCATATGGCCATTCGAATGTTAATTGCAGCGAGCATTACTTTACTGCTAAGCCCCCCTTTAGCGATACTCCCACCGTCTCTGACTCGGGTGAGTCGGAAGCACTTCCAACTACGTCACGTGCTGCTCGAACCGTGTTTACTCCGGCGCAGACTGGACCCCGGGGCGGCTTTTGGCAGATTTGTGCAGATGCTGTGCACTCTAATTGGAAGAGAACGTTCGTAAATTGAATCGCGCCAACTGTCTTATAAATAAATTAACAATTAATAGACTCGTTCGAGCCGCGCAAACACCAACCGCTGCTTATAGTGGACACATACGATTATATATATGGAAACAAATGTGGGTAAGTGTAAAGCTAATTAGAAGACATAATCAGACTCCAATAAGAGCACAGCGGGTATAAGACTGACGCGTTGTTGTTGTTTTTGTATTACATAGATATTATAAGACTATTAGAAGACATCAAACGACGTCATCTAAAGCTAATAAGACAGCAAACCACTTATAAGACAGACGAACTACTTATAAGAGTAGTGAAAGAGGAAATGTATTGTGATGCGTAGCTCATCAAATACAAGACTATTGAAAGAATTAAGAATAAAGTGGTCAATTTACTACATCAAATAAGAGTCTAACAATATTGCTTGGGTATAACAAATTTTCCTGACATTATGACAAATAAAAAGATACAAACAGAATCTAATAAGAACAAAGTGCATATATGACAGAACGTATAACTAGATTTTAAGAATTAGAATATAGTTAAGACACGCTAAGTCTACACTAATTAGCATAAGTTTGACTTGATATAAGAGTTGCGAAAAATAACTATTATACTAATAATGTAGAACAATTTGTGGTAGAAACTGAAAATAAAAGTGAAAACAAAGCAGGATCAATGCCAATATGCAAAGTGCAGAAATATCTATAATTTGTATAAGACATATGCTAATGTGCCCAGTGTCACGTAAACGAAAGCAAATTATTAAAATGAAAAGTGTTTTTGAGGCTAAAATTAATTTTAAAGGACACGAAATGAAACGAATGCGGCGTAGCTATTTGTATAAGAGCGGAGCGGAGCAAGTGAGAGCGTTAGGTATAACAGTGTAATACATGTGCTAGTAGTATAAGAGCTGTCATGCAAATTCGGAGCCTGCACTGAAACGAACTGCAAACAGGCACAAGAAAAGGGAAATATAAATAGCAAGCATTCTATACATATGTATGTATGTGTGTGCGTGCATGTACCGACATGTGTATATAAGTAGCGGCAAATACGAATATAAGAGTGACATTTCAGAGGCAATTAACGAAGCCCAAATAAGTTGCCAAACGGCAAAAAGACAATACGAAGCACATTCATAGATGAGATATAGATAGACGGCAATAGATATATGTATATATGTATGTTTGTCTATGTAGATATGTATATATAGAGAGATATATTTGTATAATCTCGTGACGTTTGCCGATGACGGCGATGGCAAAAGATGACGAAAAGCGAGGCGACTTTCGGCGGCGACGTCGTTTCATTTAGGCAAACAAATAAATAAATAATTAATAAATTTCAAAGTGATACGATAAAATGGCCACATTTTTGTCTCGCTATTGTTGTTATTGCCTGGGTATGCTGCGGCTTGTTTGGTGCGGCTACCGCAGCCGCTGCTGCTGCTACTGCTGCTGCTGGTGTTGCTACTGCGCAGCTACTGCGCGGTTACTGCGCAGCTGCCGCTTTTGTTTCTCGTTTTGTTCGCCTTTTGGACAACATTCAACAATTGACGCAGGCTCCGACAATGACACATAAAACGGGATGCCAGCGAATTAAACAGTAGCAGCAAAGGCGAGTGGGAGTGGGAGTGAGAGAGGCAAAGAGAGAGCGAGAGAGAGCGAGAGTGGGAGAGGGAGAGAGAGCGAGAGTGAGAGAGGGAGGAGCGATTTATCAATCACAACATGCAAATCGTTTTTCATTAACAGCAATTATTAGCAATTATTGCATTATAAGAGATGTTAATGGACAGCCGCTGCTGCTAATGTACCGTCCGAGACCCAGACCCAGACCTAGACTTAGTTCGAGAGCCGGACAAGGAGCACACTCTCACACACACAGTTGGTGAGGTAGGCGTGGCTGAGCGGCGCTCAGTGTAAATTTCTAATGAAAGTTGAAAAGCGCCGATTGTCCGATTGGCTGAATGGTTGCAGCCCCGCAGTCCACTCGCAATCCACAGCGCCGAGCGTTAAGGGAGCCACACTCAAGACAGGCACGAAACGCCAACAGCATCGAGCAAGTTTGAAGCGAGTTCGAAGCGGCAGGCGACGATGCTGCGCAGCTAGCGGCAACAGCGACGCAGCGCGCTCACCCGCACAGACGACGCACGAATAGAGTCGAAATAAAAAGCTTGCGATTGCTATGAAGCTGCAGCTTCGCTTTATTTGCGCTCTCCCACTCATGGCGCTCGCTCTCTCAAGCGCAAACAGCTGCTGACGCTGACGCTGCCGTCGTCGTCGACGTTGACGGCGTGCAAACAGGATCTGAGCGTATATTACGTAGCGACTGGCTTTAAGCCAACATCATTCCCAAGCCGAACGCCAACAACAGCTGCCGTCGCTCCACAACACACGCTCCACGCTTCAAACACAACAAGCTCCACACACGAATAGTGAACGATCTACGATAACGAGCAGCTGTTATTTTTTTTTCGGGCCCGTTGTCAGTGTCAGTTATCTGGCCGCATCTCTGCCAAAACGCAAATATCCAACGCAGCAGCAGCAGCAGCTACAACTACAGCTACAGCAACGGCTCTCCTCAGCCCCAACACCCTCGCAGGGCAGCGACAAGTGCAAAAGTGAAGTGAACTCCATACGATAAGCATCGCTTCATCGGCTTCACTCTCTCGTGTCTCGCTCGTGTCGCGCTCGGCTCACCATCGTGTCGCTCTGCCTGACGCTCGGCTTGCGCGCCGCTTCAAGTCCCATTGTAAATTACTTGCAAAGTAAAATTTAGTCTCGGCTTTTAATACCGTTTTAGTGCGTTTTCGAGTTGGTCGTGTTTTTTGTTACCAAAAAAAAAATTTTAAATAATAATCAACAAATTAGTAAAAACATAATATAAAGGCTTAATTCTGTGTCTGTGATATATCCAAAAACAAAAAAAAAATAAAAATAATAATTTCAACTAGATTATCAATTTTTTGTTCGGTTTTCATCAGTTTTTGAACGACTGAAAGATCAGTAAAAAAAACTTTTGCTTGTCCTGCGCAATCGTAATCGATCAAAAGACACACACTTAAAGGAAAAATATTTTGATATAATTTTTTTTTGCAATTAAAAATTTGGAAAAATTTAACGGAAATGTAAGCTATTCGCCCCCGCCAACCGAGCAGCGCTTCCTATAAATTAAGAACAATTTTCTCCGCCGCAAACGCACAAAAAAAAGAAAACACAAAACTTAACAGCAACAAAGATTACATAACATTTTGACTACAAGTACAAAATTACACATTAAAAAGTACCATAAATAACTCTTATAAAAAGACAAACGATCAACAGCCGTTTAACACTAAAAAACAAACCATAAATCCCAAAAGCCAAATCAAGACGGAAGTGTAAATTTTTTTTTGCGCAAAGCGGCGCATCCTGTTTGAGCACACACACCGAGGCAGAGGCAGAAACAGAAACGCAATTGGCTGGCGCTCTCGCATACGTATAAGAGCTGTGCAAACGGTAAGTTGTGTACTGTAAATGCGATTACATTAAATTTTAACTTAAGCATAAATAGCAGACAGAACTAACATGCTGGTATAAGAGTGTAACATAGCTCGAATTTGAGTGCAAAAAGTGCATGTGTACAGTATAAGATCGCTGTATAAGAGACATTTGGGCAGTTGCGAGCAGGCAAAAGGGGGACAGTCGGCCAAAGCGAAACCAGAAAGCACAAATAAACAAAAACAAACAAATATTGCATAGTGTGTTTTAGTAACAGAAACCATAAATAACGCGTCTCACACTCAAGTCGCAGCACATACATATATGATCAAACAGTTCTAATGAAAGCCAGACCAGCCACCCCCACCACACCACATCGCGCACAATGGGCACGGCAAGGGCGGGCCCAGCAGCGAGTGCAGTGCCAGTCGTAAACAAAAAACCGTTAAGTACAATAGAAAAAAACAAAATAAAATATATATATATAAAATATAAAGATGTAAAAAATACATTGCAAATCTACATGCCCAAAACTAAAGAGGGTATAAAAAGGGTATATATATATATATATATACATCAGTGTATGTGCGTGTATATATATGTACGTATGTGGGGCATGCTGCCAATCAAGCGAGAGGCGTTTAATTGACAGCTGGGCTTAGACACAAAGACGCCGCATTTGGCAATCGTTAAATCAAGCGCAAGAGCTAACAATCTTAATATTAATAATAATAATAATAATAATAATAGCCATCATAATAGTAATAATAGCAAAAATACTCGCCTTTGCAATTAACAAGCGGCGGAGGCAGCGAATCTATAGCCCATTGCCCAAATGCGGACAGGTGACGCGCAACGGAGCAGCGCTGGCCGCATCCGAATTCGAATGCGAATACGTATTCGAATGCGAATGCGAATCTGAATCCCAATGCGAGTGCGGAGTATCTTATGGATATGTCCGCTGCTAGATCGTTGGCATGCGCGGCTGCATGAGCTGTCGCTTGGTTATTTAAGCGCTCGGCGCACATGCGCAGCTTATCAATGCCTCAGCTTGGGCCAGATGTATCCACAAAAACAGCGTCCAACTCCACAGCCAAAAGCCAAAAACAAAAAACGAAAACAAAACATCATACAAAATCCAAAACTACACAAAACAAAAATCAGCATAGAAAACTTTCACTGCTGACGACGTTCCAGTTTCAATTTCAGTTTTAGTTTCAGTTTCTGTTCGAGTTTGGATTTCAGTTTTCGATTAGCCCAAAGATGCGACACTAAACCCAAAAGTCCAATTGGCATTTGCATACCCTGTAAAGTATACGAGAATTACCTATAAGGACTGCAGTCTAGAAGCCATCAAATATGATATATATGGCACATAGTATCCATACAGCTGTGTATATATATGTAATAAATATATATAAATACATATTCCTGATCAGAATCGATCTAGATATATATATCGATCTATATATATATATGTAATAAATATATACAAATAAATATACCTGATCAGAATCGATCTAGATATATATATCGATCTATATATATATATATATGTAATAAATATATACAAATAAATATACCTGATCAGAATCGATCTAGCGCTGTCCAAAGTATAGATCCCGCTTTCAACTAATCGATAACTTATCGTTATCGAACTTCAGTTATTAATTCATCGCTCTTACGTCTTTCAAGCTAGAATCCTCAAATTTAGAACTTACTTCCATAGATGACTGATGCAATTTTGATTTTTGTTAGATTGCACATGGGATGGGGCGAGGGTATGTGCCAGTCGAGCACACCCGACTAGAACAGAGCTTGCTGTAATCGTGGTGAAATGTATGTGATGTGTGAAATCTGAAGCTGCACTTGATCTTTTCTATAAGCCCCATCAGCTCTCTAAGCGTTAAAGCCTTTTATCTTCTGTGTTTATTTCTGTTTTTTAAGCTTGTGAAGTTTCGAGCGGATTTCCGCCGATGTAAATTGTTCACTTCCAAGACAATTTACATAAATACTCTGGCGATAACAAATCATCTAAAACAACACACAAAGTTCTAATTAAATGTTAGTTACGACTGCAGCAGCAGAGCAAAAAAACTAATTTGCATTTTTTGGAGAGCGTCTAAAAGGTGAGAAAATTATTGCTACGGCGATTGCGATTGCAAATGCCGACTGTTCGAATCAAGTGCCTGCTTGAGTGGAAAATCAATGCACTTCCGCAAAATGGTCAAACATACACACACACACACACACCTGCACACACACAGATACAGATACATAGCTGCAGATACTTGCTGACAGCTTGAGATACTCACACGAAGATACAAACAGCAGCGGGGCAAACAAAACTATTTGACGAGCGCGCAAACTTTTTAATTATTTATAGCAGCTGCGACGCGAGCAGCGGCGCCACTGCTGCGCTGGCAGCGACGCGACATTCGCTCTGCGCACTGCATTAAATAAGTTAATAATTGTCCAACTGTAAACAGTTATGTAACAATCAATATATTGCGCAGAAATATAATATATTTAAATATACACTTTGACGTAATAAAAAAGCAATAATAATACGGTATATGGATGCATGTGGCAGTATTGGATATCGTTTCAAATATCTCAAAATAATTCGGAATATCTTAATTAAAAAATAATTGAATAAGACAAAAATAGAATAAATAGTAATAATAATAATTAAATAATAAAGTAATATTAAGAAGAAGATTTAATTTTAATGAGTTAAATATTCCTCTCTCTTTCTTATTTTGCCATTAATTTGAGAATGCAGTGTTGTATAACAAGTGACATTTCAGTCAAAATTAGCCAACCAAACGAAGTCTGAATAGTGTTATACAGCACTTAACAGTGTTATACAGCAATTGCGTTGTATAAAAGTATCAGAAGTGTTCTTCACAGAGAGAAGCTACTTCTCGTGTCAGTGTTGTATAACAGTTGAAGAAGTTAGTGCTAAGAGTTGTTAATGTATAACTCTGCTTATATTTTTATTAGTCTAAATTGGTCATCTTAAAGAAAGTATTTTATACAATAGTGTTATACAGCTGCAGTGTTGTATAACAGTTCAATAATTGCTGTTAACATGGAGCATTGTTAGCGCAAAACTCTATATTTAATAAGCTATAAGCTATTGGAAAAACATTTCATTTAATACTGTTATACAGTAACTGTGTTGTATAACAGTTCAAGAATTTTTCTATAGAAATGAGTATGAACAGCTTACTTAAGGAAAATAATTCATATTACAGTGTTATACAAATACAGTGTTGTATAACAGTTCAAGAATTTAACGTTCTGTTTTCTTAATATAAAGATCTGCTAATAGTTTGCATAGAGAAATAAGTATGAATAGCTTACTTAAGGAAATTAGTTCATTTAACACTGTATACCAGTGTTCTCTAGCTCTAGTGTTGTATAACAGTTCAATAAGTGCTGTTAAGTCAGTATTGTTCCTATTCTCTCAAGAAAAAGCAGCCTGCCAGAGCTTGGAGCTCACTAAAACCGGCAGAGCAGTGTTCTGCACTAACAGTGTTGTATAACAGTGAAATAATTGCAAGTCCTATGGCTTCCTAGATCGTCCAGGGTATCTTTCAGCCAGGCATTTGGGCTCACCTGCTGCCGTTTGCCACTCTTGACAAATTTGCAAACATTTCAAATTTTTCAATTAAATTTTCCCCGTTTTCTTTTCCTTTTTTTGGTGACTTTTTGATAATGAGCATTTTAATTAAAGCACATATAACTAAATCAAACTGATATATACATATCTGATATATATGTATATGTGATATAGCTGCTATAAATAAATGCACATAATGCAGCGTGTTGTGCCTTTGCCTTTGCCCTTGCTTTTGCTTTTGCTTTTGGTGCATTTATTTCTTTATATTGCTGCTTATTGCACATAAAAATAACTTTCGCCCTTTGTTGCTGTTTGTTGTTGTTTGCCTTTTGTTGTTATTAATTTTTGTGCACATTTTGCGCAATTTCTTGACAACGACGCCGACTCCTTTGCACTGTTTGTCGCTGATGACGTGTTGCGGCGGCTGCGGCGGCTGCTGCTGCTGCTGCTGCTGATGATAATGATATTTTGTTGGGGCTTGTTATCGCAGCTATCGTTTGCACAATGCTGACGAGCAGCGGCTGGCAGATTGACTTTATTACTCATACGCCATGTGCGCCTGCGCCAGCATCAGCAGCGCCGCGCTGGTACGGCAGGTGCCAAACAAGCGTACAAATATTTGGACATGCCCGATAATATAATTTGCAAATAATTTATGCAGCCAAGCAGCCAAGCAGCCAGCCAGTCACTCAATCAGCCAGCAGCAGTAACAACAACTAAGCATTTCTTTTAGCAGCTAGCATGTTATCACTTAATTAGAAGTCGCATGTTGCCAATTGATATGCCTTGGAAATCGGGCAACGTCGTGCATATCTGTGACACGAAAAAAAAGAGAAAAATAAATCAATGAAATCATATTATGTCTGACAGACAGTTAATTTGCATGTCAAACAAGCCCGATAAGAGCGAGAGCTGACAACAACTTAAAAGCTAATCAGTCTAGGGAGAGAGCGAGGTAGTGAGAGGTATGCAAACATAGCTGTGGCTGTGGCTGTGGCAGTGGCTGTGGCTGTGGCTGGCTAAATATAAAAGGTTTCAGCCTTAAGTTGCGACACTTCAGCCTTTACACTCGAACACTTCAGCCTGTCAATTGATGTCCCAATCATTTAAACTTATCAGTTTGACGAGCACAAGTGTGCCCGAGTGCTTCCAATAGTAGTTCCATTCAAACTATGCACTGAGAGAAAAGCAAAGTGCAGAGAACCTCTCTAAAGCGTGGACCATACATTCAGATTCATCTGATTTATCACATATATATATTTCGATATAGGCCCAAAGCAATTGCTATTTTGTTGACTAGTGTACGCTAGTGCTGCAGCTGCTGGCTGGCATTTCGGGACTCTTTGGGCTCAGATTGCATAAGCCACAAGCAACAAGCCACAAGCAACAA